GTGTCCCTCCCATGGGCTCACCCCGTCCCTCCCTGCAGGCCCAGAAGAACGAGCGTGAGTCCATCAGGCAGAAGTTGGCTCTGGGCAGTTTCTTCGACGATGGCCCCGGGCTCTACACGAGCTGCAGCAAGAGCGGCAAGCCCAGCCTGTCCTCCCGGTAAGCCGAGCCCACGTCCTGGCACGGGGCAGAGCTCTGCATGGACATCCCGGGATCACCCCTCATGCTGCCCTTTAGCCCTATTCCCGAATTTTCCATGCTCAGAACAACACCCAGGTGCGGGTCCTGCGTGTTATGTGAACACTTGTAAGGGATGGGGAAATTCTCATTTAGTGCTGGGTAGAAACGTGTTGTAAATGCAGGCAAACACAATGGGAAGGAATTCTGATGTCTGACTCAATTCAGAAGGCTGAATGATTTCTTTATTATAACTATGCTAAAATACATCAATATACTATATAAAAGGAGGATACTAAAACTACATACTGCTTTCTCTGACTCTCACACAACTCGTGACCCTCTCTGAGAGCCCAGCCCCAGGTGGGTTGGATTGGCCACCAGGCTCAAACAATCCTCGCCAGAATCCAACCAAGCATCACCCCAGGGAAACAATTCTCCACACACATTCCACATGGGAAAAACAAGGAGCAGAAATAGAAATTGTTTTCTCTTTCTTCTTTTTGTGTACCTCTGTGAAAAATCCTGAGAGGGAGAGAAATGTGCTTGCCACAAAAAGGTGTTTGGATGTTGAGGGGATAAAGGAAATGAGGTGAAGTTTTCTGAGTTAGGTTTCCTTCAGGTTTTCATTTGGGATTTGGAAGAGGGTGCCTGGAGAAGCTGTGGCTGCCCCTGGACACTGGGAGCACCTGGGACACTGGGAGGTGTCCCTGCCGTGGCAGGGTGGCACTGGATGAGCTTTAAGGTCCCTTCCAACCCAAACCATTTGGGAATTCCAACCCCCATGATTGTGGAATTGTGACCAATGATTGGAAAAGTGATTAATGCTCGGGAAGCACTGGAGGATGGACAAAAGAAGCTTTGATGTGGCTTCCTGCTTCCCCTCCACATCCACCAGCTCTGCTCCGGACATGGCTCCATCCCTGGAGCTGCACATGGATTCCTCCCTTGGATTTTTAAGGTTTCTGCGTCAAATGCACTCCAGAAAGTCCTTTTTGTGTTCAGCTGGAACCCACAACACTGGGGAAGCTTCAAACACCTCCCATGCTGGGAGTGAAGCTCTACCTGTTGCCATGGAATGGGAGAAAGAAGGTTTAGGGAGGCAGAAATGCAGGAGGAATCCTGCTGTTCCAGGGGAGAGGTGCAGTTGTGGAATTAAATCGAGCTGCAGATCATTTGAAAGGGAAAACAGCTTTGCTGTGTGTAGTTACAGCTGAACCAGGAGCTGCTGTCTGGTAATTAGAGCAGGGTTCTAATTAATGCAGCTCATCAGGGTTTGGCAGCTGTGCCCCCAGAAACTGCCAGCTGTGCCTGAAGGATTTGGTGCTTGTTAATATTTATAAGCCAGGAAAAGTATTCCCTGTTCCAGGACCCGCAGGAACGTTTGCAGGACGTTATTCCCATGTTTTTGTGTGGAGTTGCAGAGTAGGATTGTGGGATGCTGGGGTTGGAAGGGACCTTAAAGCTCATCCAGTTCTCTGTCCATGGGCAGGGACAGCTCCCAGTATCCCAAACCCTGTCCAACCTGGCCTGGAACAATTCCAGGGATCCAGGGGCAGCCACCACCTTCACTTGTTCATTAACAAACAATGATTAATCCTATTTATTTTGTGCTAATGGTAAGTAAAACCCCCACAGAAATAAATGGAAAGTAGGAGTTTGCTGTTCCTAAGGAGCAGCACAAGCTCCCAGCACACTGGGAATGAGGAATAACAGGATTTGGGGAATTCTCCATCTCCAGCAGGTGGGGATGGATTGGGGTCTCTCACCTGGGCTTTGGGGATGGATTGGGATCTCTCACCTGGGCTTTTCCCTTCTCTCATCCTGCAGGATTCCCTGATCCTGCTTCCAGAGAAAATCATTCCCGGGGAGGGGAATGTGGGTGGGGTTAATCAATCCCAGTCCAGCAGTGGAGCAGGGGGATTTGGAAAACACCAGAATAAACTCCAGCGCTACAGGAGTGTCTTGGAAACAAACAGTGAATAAATCATTT